GACTATGACTATGTAAACTAAAGGACATGTTATGTTGACATATATAAATCAGACGTCATATGTACATGATGCATTTCGATGTTCAAATCATAAACATGTTATTGTCTTTGTTTAAATATTGCGTGCCGTCTTAAGCCAAAAGAGATAGCATTACATTGGTCTGTGTCAAACACGGGAATCGAAAATACGTAACGACATCTTAAATGCCAACCGTGTCCATTTCGCAGTACATGAGGTACATGATACGGTTGTCAAAGGGAAGTACATGACATGTCAAAACAAATGTTTTTCCAAGTGTTTTATTGAATTATTAGCATGTATCGTAATAAAATAGACAAAAATATTGACAGTGAGAACAATTAAGTATTAATAAAAATTCGTCGCTGCAGCATTACGGGATGTAGCATTAGAAAAAGCTAAAATCGACCCAATGTAACATTGTACAGGCACGTGTTATTTTTCTGTCTATAAATCGCACAAAAGCCAAAATACCTCATGTAATTACACATATTTAAGTAGTTTATTCATAAATCTTGCCACATTTTACGTTGGTTTCTTCAGATTGCCTATTTGTTAGTATATTTTGATGATTGTTGTAAACGATTATTTTGAGATAGTGTTGTTCTTGGAAGTGTACATACTATCGATATTCTGTTATTAAAATAATTCACTACGAGCTTTTTATTTATTATTTTATTTTTATTATTTTTAATATTTCAAGTTTATCTACAAATCAAAAAGAAAAAGAATGGTTGGAAATCATAGGAGTGCCGACTATAAACATTGAATCAAAGACCATCTTCATTTATTCGCTTCATTATGAAGAGTCAAATTTTAACATAATTTTGAATGTAACTAGATTACAAGATAATATAATTCCATTATCAGGTTTATTGGTAAATAATTTTATATTTAATTTAGAGAATAAGCAATAAACAAGGCTCATTTACTTGATATTCTCAGTTTCTGAAAACAAAATTATCCACTCATTTTCCGATTTTTTTCCCACTGACAACTGTAACTACTAAAAATTCTTATTTTATAAAACCAGCAATACAATGACCATGTTGGTCCAACGTTGCCGAGTGAAGGCCAGTACCAACGCATAGACAGTCTATTTGCCTTGCCATCGTTCGGTGTCACTCGCCTAGCTGATCGAGAGCTAACGTGTATGGAGCTCGTTTGACGTGGCTTGTTACAACTTGCAATCGCTCGTGACCACTTGTCTCACTTCGGAGAAGTGTGGATTTTTCTGCACAAATCAAAGGGCTCGGCCAATAGTAGTCAATTGACATTGTATAATCAGACATTTGCGTACTATTTGATATACGCGAAACATGCTTATACTAACACTGTCTCTTGTTACAACTCCTGTAATACCATGTTTTAAGCAAAGAAGCGTATGATAATAATTTTATTATTGATAATATTGCTACTTTCATCTATTTTCAAAATTAAATGGAAGCGTTAAGTATTCCCTTAAATCAGTCACTGATATTAATTCTATACCAATGCATAAATACAAAAAGCTTACACTATTTGGAAACAGTTAAAAATTTCTCTATGAAAATATGAATCTTGAGGTTGGAAATGTAAAGGAGATCTATATTTCAAATTTATATTCCAAAGTTTTCTCTTTTTTTATATATTCTCGAATTACATTATTTCTGCGCAAATTCACTTTTCGTAATATTCGAGTAATTGTATACGCAAAACAATAAATTCAAAATTTTCGTGTGACATTCCCGGATATTCCCATATAACCTAAAATATTCCCAAATGGAATATTGATCTAATTTAATTAAATGTTTGCATGTCTATAATGGCTTATCGATAGATTAAGGTACGACACTAAAGAAATCCGCCATTTATTCGTTCAATTTTTGTTTAAGTATGCACGTTCATTCCTTATTTAGGGCAGCTCCTTTCTTTTATTTTTTTTTCCCATCCTCTAAGAGTCCAAGTATGTTTTATGCCTCATTTATTTGTTAGGGTTAAATTAGTGTTGCTCATTTCTTTCACGCTATCTTCATTCGCTTCTTGATAATTATTTGATAGCCAACAAATCATTCGAACACCATGTCATGTAAAATTTGGTGACTGAATTTAAACTATGTAACGTTTGCAAAATCAATATCTATAAAATATATATTTATTAAAATGATAAAATAGAGACATTTACGGATCATTAAACTATTTTTGAACCTTGAGAAAAATATTTTAGCATTTGACATGTATGTTGGCGATAGACTTAAAAGAAAATACAGACAAGTTGCTCATAAGTTTTACTTTAGCAATACATAGTACATTACTGTAGAGGCCGGGAAGTAAGGGATTGCCGGACGAGCATGAGTTGTGTTAATACGAGTCAAGCAATCCCCGCTCCCGCCGAGGCTTATATAGTGCTATTCTCAAACAATGTGAGGAAACACTAAAAGACCAAAGAGAGGAAGATGCATAATAAAAAAGTAAAAAACATAAAATAATATTTGTCATGTAAGGACAATTTGCTAAAAGAATATGTTGTTATTTTTCCAGGCACATATTAGTAGTCTTTAGCAGCCTGCTGAAATTCTCATGATGTGATTCTCCAGTGCATGAAAGTCTCATAAGTTTTCATGATCTTACTTTGCTCATAGCCAGCAACAGTCTAATTAATTAGTGATTCAATACAAAATTAAGAAAGCTACTATCACCTTCTGGCAGTGCCATAGGATGGTAGGCAAACAATGGAGACTTTCACCCAAAATAACACTAAGGCTCTACAAAACGGTGAAAAGACCCATAATCAGTTACGGCGCGATAGCATGGTGGCCACGAACCAAGCTGACGACCGCAACCGACAAGTTGGATAAATTCCAAAGACTAGCCTGCATGGCGACGATTGGCTGCATGAGGACAACTCCAATTGCGGCCCTCGAAGCGATTTCGCTGATTTGTTGTTGACGAGAGTAGTACTACACAAAAATCCATCAATTGTAAGACATACCGGCATGAATAATGTGGGTACAGAACCAGAACGTAGCTTTATCTTAGCTTGCCTCTAAAGGAAAAGCATTTTTCCTCAAAGTGTTTGCTGCATATTTTTGAAAACTTTTTTTTAGCATTATAAGCCATTTCTGTCGTACTTCAATGTTTTGAGGAAA